ACCTCTCAGGGCCGCCATGGGGACCACAGAGCATCCTTTGCAAGCAACAAAGCTGAGTCTCAGGACAGACCTTCTACCATCCATCTCCTGTTCCAAGTTCTATCTCACACTTTAAAGTTTCACAAAGGCAACAAACGAAGGCCCTGGGTGTAAGCATGCCCACTCTTCAGTGAGTCCACTGGCTTTCACAACCGCACCCACGGTCTATTAATCAATGGTGGTGGTTCCCAAAATGGGGTTCCTGGGACAGCAGTACCACCTGGAACTATGTTCAGGGTCCGGCGCATACCAGGCTCTGATCTGTCCTCCAACGGGGGCCTTTGAGAGGCCCCACATTTTCCCCACACACTGACACTCAGTGCTTTTGAAATGGGCATATCAGTTCTGATCCACAGAAAAAGAAAGCGATAACCACACTAGAGAACATGTCGGTTGAAATGGGCATTTCAGAAGAGAAGGCTGGGACCGTTCCCACAGATCAAGGGACAGAAAATGGTAAATGATGCCCACCTGTGGGGGGGGGGGCATATGAGGATAGGAACAATGTTAGGGACAGTGAATCATGAGACAGTCTCCCTCAAGACATGGTCCAAATGAGGCATGAAAATCAAAGAACTGTGGGCATGCTGTGGACATGAGGCTTGAGGGTCCATGGGCACTTGGGCAGCATAGGGTGGCCATGCTTTGCTCTAGGGCTCAAAGGGAATGAGGGCACCTGCCTCAGGGGTGTTAACACAGGTTAACACACAAGTGGGTCTGTAAAGAACCAGGCTGTGGCATCTGTGGATAGTCAGGACAGAGGAGCTCTCCTTGGCAGAAAAGGAGAGGGAAGTGCTCCCTTAGAGGACAGCTTCTCCAGCTTCTCATCATAACCGAAGCTTGTCTTAAGAAACAGGAGAGAGAGAGAGAGAGAGAGAGAGCAATAGAAAAAGAGAGAGGCAGGCAGACAGATATAGACAGAGATAGACAGAGATAGAGAGAAAGAGACAAAGAGACTGACAGAGTCAGAGTCAGAGACACAGGAAGTCCTCGTGGGAAGTGCACAGTCAAGGGGAAGACCTTTATAAAACCAGGCCCTTACAAGTTTAAAATGCGAAGAACAGCCCCAGATCTAGCAGTGAGGCATCTATGAGCCATCACTCACAACCACACACGTCCGTGGGGGCGGCCATCCGCGCTCAGCTATTAAAAGTCATCCTTTGACAGGAGTGACTCACACCTGCCCCCAGTCCCCATTCATCAGATGGGGTGGAGCTCACTCTAACAAGCTCCCAGAGGGATACTGAGGCAGATGGTCCCCAGACCTCAAAAAATCATTGTCACTACAGGAGAAGAATCCGAATAGAGATGGGCACTGAGCCACGGTATCCACATCACAAGCTTCAGTGGGGAGAGGCATGGTGTGAAACCAAAATGTGCCACCCACTTAAGCCCTGGCTTTGGTTTGTTCCTATAGCATAAGGAAGTCAGAATTCAATGGGAAGCAGCTTACATAAGTTACTTCTCTCTGTGCAAACCTTGAATCACCAAGAGAGGTAAAAACTGTATAAAAGTAACATTCCGTCCCCAAGCACCACCATGAGGTGCAGCCAGGAGCCCTCTGGCCCCTTCTGCAGGGCAAAGAGGGAACTCCCTTGGTGCTGCAGCTCTTTGGCCATGGGGCATTAGCTCCTTGGGTTTGGGTTAGGGAAGGTATAGGAGGAAAACATTTGATGCCCACTGCCCTCCTCAAAGCTTCCCTCTGCCATATTTGGTTTCACTACACTTGTAAATCTCAGGTTACTTTGTCTTTGACCAGGATTCTGCCTCCTCCTTGCCAAGTTCTTGACAGACCTGGATAATAAGCTAGTTGTAACAACACAAAACAAAACAAAAAGTGTTAGAGGGTAATTGAGGATGGGAGCTTTTGTCACACTAGTGACTACAGAAGACTTGTAGGTAAATATGACAAAGCCATTCCATGTTCTACATGATCCTGTCCATGGAATCAGCCTCTGGTGCCTATTCAACTAACAGCCAGGGGCCACCAGCTTAGCAGAGGGTAGAATGTGTGTTACGAAGGATGAAACCCTTACTCCTCTTTGTGTCTCTCTGTTCTAGCATTTAGCAGGTCAGTGGTCCTAAGCAGGTGCTCCAAAAGTCAGAACTGAATTAAAGGGCACTGGTGCCTGCTGGGAACTGGCATCGCTCTTAATCCTGGTACAAAGTCTGAGACACAAGCCACCGAGGCACCTGTTCAGAGCCAGTGTTCTGGACTCTACCCAAGACTCCGTACATCAGATGCTGTGGGATCTGCCTGCATTTGTCACAGGTATCCAGGGAATAGTACACACGTGAAATATGAGACCAACAGCCTTATCCTCACGGGAGCTTGTGGGCGCCAACAAGAAAGGATGTAATTAAGCAAAAAGTTTGGGGCAGCCACAAACACAATAGAGGTGGGCAGCTTCTTCCTCTCCTTTGCAGCTGGGGCCCTCGGGTGTGTGAATGTGCATTATCTGGGGAAGATAGGGAGATAACAGACCAAGGAGGAGGAAGGCCCAGAATGGCTACAAACTCCCAGAGACTTCAGCAGGTTGTTTACTCGAGTTTCCCAGGTGATGGGGTATCTGGCCCCTTTAGCAGGTCATCCCTCTGTGCTTCACACTGCTGTCTGGCAGTCAGTCAGCAAAATGGTCCTCCCTCAGGTTCCACCCCACACTTGGGGAAGCTGCAGGTCTGCGGGAGTGTGGGCAGCTCAGTTACTGGGATCTGGCCCAGGCTCCTGTGCCTGTGCCCCGTGAGCCTAAGAGGCTTCCCCTTACCACCCCTTCCTGCATCTACCGGGGATTCTGCAACTGCTGGCAGCTGTCACGGGAGCATCAATCTCGGATGTTTATGCCAAGCCTCATTTACACCAGCTACTTCTCCCCCAAGAGATGAATGTTTAAAACAAACAGCATGTCCATATGCTAGAGGCTCAGGCATATCGGCACTGGGGATCCCCAGACAGAAACATGAGTCAGGCTGGGGCAGATGCCTAAATAAACTGTGCTAGGGTGAAATTCCTCTCTGAGCAGGAGGAACCTCTAAGCGATTGCTCAGATTCTCCTAAAGATGGCAAGCTCTTGCCCCAATGGGGCGTGCTCAGAATGGTCCAGACCCCACACTCAGCGCCATCACTGACAGGCACTTAACTCGTGACCTAGCCAGCTGTACCACCTGCATCCCAGCATCCCTGTCCCCTCTCATCCCATCAGGAGCATCTGAAGGCCCTGAACATTCGGCATGGAGTGCTATGTGCCTACTAAGTATTTCCTGAAGCCCCCATAGTGTGGGGCTTTGGTCTCCAAAGATGAAGATGCTTGCAGGTATGGAAAAAGGTTGTTTGGAAAAGGCAGAGGCATGGAACTGGAACACACCACTTGCCCAAAGACACAGGCCACTGAAGAAGTCACAGCATGGGAAACTGGAGTGGTCCAGGGTCTGTGCCCCTCCCCTTTCAATTCTGCTTCCAGTGACTGTAGGAGGGAAGATGTGCATGATCTAATGTGAGCTGCACATAGTGTGCATTGCTTCCCAGACAGGGCAGAAAGGAGCAGGCAAGAGAGCTGGCGCAGGGTGGGCTTGGAACTGCACTTAGGCCTCACTGTGGTCTGGGTGTTGGGGTTTCCCCTCCCCTGAAAATCATAACTTGAAACCCAACTCCCCATGTAACAGCTCCAAGAGGCAAAGCCTGTAGGGGGTGATGAAGTCATGAGAACTCTGCCATCTTGAATGGGATTAGTGAGTTTACAAAGGAAGCTCCAAGGCAAGCCTGGTCTAAACAGAGACTTTATAAAAAAATTAAATAGAGAAGCATGGAAGTTGTGCTGTCCTGCCTCTCATGTAAGGACACAGCTTGAAGTCATGCTCCACCTGTAAGGACCAGCCCTCATCAGCCCTAACCTGACTGCCACCTCAATCCTGGACCTCCTAGTCGCTAGGACTGTGAGAATTAAGTTTTCGTGGTGACTCTATCTCAGGTGGTTTCTGATGGCATCCTGACTATGCCGAAGCAGGACATAATACAAAAATACAACCCACCACCTACGCTGGTTGACAGCAGAAGGCAGGCACCTCCCATCCTGTGCTTGCCTGGCAAACTCCACCTGCAAAGAGGGTGGAAGGAAGGGCAGCCTCCAGGCGACACCCTCCCCCTTCACTGGGCACTAAAAGACTGCAAGCAAAGGCTGTGAGACCCAGGGGAGGTACTGGCCCTCTGGGGATGACTTCTGCATCCTGGGATGTGAAAATTCTTGAGCTACCCTCAAAGTTGTGGGTCCGGTGTGCTGACCATGGCCTTGGGTGTCCCGCGCTGTAGTAGGGAATCTCTTTTTCTGTATTTAACAGCATAGGGGTTGAATGCCCCCTTTACATTGCAGGGTCTCACTAAGTGGCCCAGGCTGACTGTGACCTCAAGCAATAGCCCAGAGTGACCTGAAACTTGCAATCCTCCTGCCTCTGCCTCCCCCATAGCTAGATGACGGGCCTGGCTGTAGTTAGGCCTTTGTGACCCATCTCAGGCTTATGCTCACACACAAAGGTGTCTAATAACCAGCACAGGAATGAGGTCAAGTCTCTGCGGTCTGACACGAGAGACAAAAGCAGTATTAACAGGTAGCTAAGAGTCAAAGACAGGAGGTGGGAGGCAACTTAGGTGTTTCTCTAGGCTCAAAGAAAAATCAAATCAAGGGGCTGAGAGGTGGCTGGCTTGGTTGGTGGAATACTTGCCTGGCATGCCTATCACCCCATGTTCCACCCCTACTTAAAACAGGATATAACAGTGCCGGCCTGTAACCCCAACACTTAGGAGGTGGAGGCAGGAGATACAGGAGGTTAAGGTCATCCTAGAATACTTAAGTGACTTTGAGGCCAACCTGGGTTAGATAAGATCCTATCTCAAACAATAACAAAACAGCGGGCGGCCAGCCAAAACCAACCTTTCTCCCCATCCCCCCAGAGAAAGAAAAGCCACCAACCAACTCCGTTCTCTACCAGCGTGGAGTGGGTCCCGTCACAATCACTGGTGTCCTGCTCTGCAGCCTGGTCATTCAACTCCAAGTCTGGCTGGTGGGAACCATTTCCAAACTGCGACTCATCCTTCTCAGAGCCAGCATCTCCATTCTCTAAGCCGTTCTGGGCCTTCTTCAGGGGCATGATTTGCAAGCCACTGGGAGTAGTCCTATAGGACACGGTCTTGGCTGCCCTGTCTCCAGCCCCGGGGGCCTTTCCCGAAGACCCCTTCTTGGGCCTGGACAGGGGAGAGTTGACGCGCTTCCTCTTGTGGGAAGCTGATTTACTCTTCCCGGGTTCCAGAGGCCGATGGGAGAGTCTCTCCACTGGCAGGCTGCGGGCGTCTCGAAGCAGCTTGGAGGCTCCGGCCTGCTTCCCTGACTTCACCCTCTTGTCCTTGGACACATGCAGCCCATTGAACTCGTCAATAAACTCCTCACAGTGCAGGAGGTGATGCTCCGGCTCCCAGGTGTCCTCTGTGCTGCCGTAGCCTTTCCATCGGATAAGATACTCCCATTTCCCCTTCTTGTTCTTCCTCTTGTCCACAATCCTTTCAACCTGGGAATGCAAGAGGAGACAGTGAGAAATAAAACGGAATGATCCATCTTCCAAAGGGCCTTCGGCCATCATAGGTCCAGCTACAGATGGATAGGCAGACACTGGCCCCATGCTAACATCTGCTACTCTAGCCACCGGCACCCAACCTGGAAACCATTAACAGTGAAGCTTGCCTGATGACCTGCAGACGTAAGGTCACGCACTTGAAAAGCTCTAAGATAGACAAGGAACACCTGCTCTTTGGGCACTGTGCCCTGGGTTGGCTCTGCGGCCCTGCCTCTCTCACTCAAAACCAAAAGATCACAATCATGATGGTGTTCCTGATGGCTCTTCAGGCTGTAGCCCACTGGGAGCACTCACATGTTCACCCGTGCTCACTCCTGCTGAAATCATACTGCATGCTTTTCTCTAGAGATGCTTATTCTCAGGATTGCAAAGTAGACTCTGACTTTGACAGACCCATATAACGGTTTCTACTCTTATAAAAGTAAGTAACTCATTGATTGAGCAATGATATAGATGCCATCATAATAATTTATCTTTGTGATATTGTTGTATATAATAAATCATTTTAAAAAGATTTTTGTGTTTACACGAAGCTGATCTTTGCTACTTTGTGTGTTCTTCTTTTCCCACCTTTTATGTCCCTCCCTGCCCCATTCTTAACCTTCTAACACTAGTTTCTTCTTGACCATGGCTACTAACAAACCACAACCAACCTCTCCAAACCCACAACCACCAAACCCAAACCTGTAGGGGCCCTAGCATTTATCTACCTTGTGAAAAGTTCCCAGAATTCCAAACATCACACAATCATAGAAACTACCTGCACCTGGCAGAACCATGCCTCTGTTAAAGCACAAGACAAATCATAGTCAGCTGCTGCATGTATTCCAAAGCACCCCCATATCCCTACACCTGAGATTAAAGCAAAATACATTCTAAAAAAATTTCTGTGGTTTTTGAAGAAACCAAAATTCCAAAATTGCCACTACATTAATGTGCATAAGTACGTAGGGTTGGGTTAACACAGGTAGAGGGCACATGTGGAGGCCAGCAGATGGTGTAGGATCACCTGGAGCTGCAGTCACAGGTGGTAATGAGCTGCCTGACCTGAGTTTTAAGAACCAAACTCGAGTCCTCTGCAAGAACAATACATCCTCTTAACTGCTGGGCCATCTCTTCCATCTTTGTATAATAAATCTAATGTACAGTTTTCATTAATTCACAGTAGGCATTCTTGAGCTGGACACTACTGAATGATGGCCTGAGACCCTGCCGTCGTATTTTCTCCTGACATCCCAATAAGCAAGCATATTTTCTGTCTCCATTTTACAGTGAGGGGACCAGGGCACAAAGAGATTAAGCCCGAAGACCTGGGGTTGGAACAACTCTCACCCCAAACTTTGTCTCTCAGTCACTATACCATGCCAACCTTCTCAGCTGCAGGAATCTTTCACACTGGACAAAATGTATTTGCATCAACAAAGCTAGGTTCTCCTCCATGCAGCCACCCCAGATGCCATACAGGAGTGCAACATGGAGGCAGAGAGATGAGTACAGCAATTGTTGAGGGGCTAACAGGTGCCAGGCATACTGCCGTGGGGAGCACTGACATTCTTCCATCCGACAGTTAAGAGACTGGGGAGATTAGTTAGGGTTTCGATTGCTATGATAGAACATCACAACCAAAAGCACCGTGAAAAAGAGACAGCTTATTTCAGATTTCAACTCAGGTCACATTCTGACATCAAGGGAAGTCAGACAGGAACTGAAACAGAAGCCATGGAGGAATGCTACTTACTGGTAGCAATTTTGCTCCCTATGGCTCCCCTGCCTGCTTTCCTATACAACTCAAACCCATGTGCCCAGTGTTGGCACCACCCATGTGTGCTGGGCCCTCCCACCTCAATTATTAATCCAGAATACACCCTACAGATTTGCCTATAATCCAATCTTCTGGAGGCATTTTTTTTTCAATTCAGATGCCTTCTTCCTAGATATGCCTAGATATGTTTAGTTAAGTTGGCAAAAAACCAACTTGGACACAGTGCATGAGGCAACCTGGCCAGGAACACAAGCCAGGCAGGCTATAACAGTGGTAGGTGTAAACCCACTGTCCACACCCAAGCCATGTGCTTCTATTTAGAAACATGTCGCCTTATATTCCAAGGACAAACTCATTCAGGGTAATGCTGGATCTGTGCTAACAGCTGCTGTATCTAAGTGAAGGCTCATTTTTATTAGAAAACTGAAACAATCATTTACAATGGGGGGGCACTGTGCATTTGTGGATGTCAGAAGGCAGCTTCCAGAAGTTAATTCTTCTTCCATGTGGGATCCAGGGATCAACTTAAGTCATCAGGTTTGGTGGCACGTGTCTTTACCTGATGATTCATCCCATGTGACCTAAGCCAAGGGTGCTTTAAGAGTTCATTTACTTTCCTTTCAACCTTGTGAGTTTGCACTCACTTTTGCCAGTGGTGACTGGTCAAAGTGCAAAACAAATGTCTACAGAAAGCTCAGCTATAAATGAGATGTCTATATCACACTTCCTCACCCTAAAGCTCAAGTATTATCAAGAAAGAAGGGACAGAACGTAAGAGCCAGAGGTTGGAGGAGAACTTGAGAGAAACAGCGTCCTCTGGACATGACAGGACCACTGTACTCATGAACTCCCAGCAGCTGTGGCTGCCTGTATAATACCTGCATAAGGTCAAGCCAGCCAACAGTCCAGCATGGAGGGAGAGGCATTCACAAGCCTTCCCCAGCTGAGAAGCCATTGACAGTTGATGGCTTTTGGAGAAGGGAGTTGGTTTTCTGTAAGGGTATAGACTTTGGTAAGTTGACCAAACTCCAGTGGAAGGGCCACACCCATTTATATATGGGCATCGCAAACAGGGTTCTAAACGAGAGAGTGAGAAAATACAAATTGGGAAGTATAGAGGATGGAAAGTGGATCTTGGAGGATTTAGAGTAGTTGGGAGGAGTGAGAGTATTATCAAAATATATTTTGTTATTGTATAAAATTCTCAAGACTTAATTAAAAATATACATATCTTTAAAAGAAATGTGCTGGTGCATGCCTTTAATCCCGGCACTGGGGAGGTTGAACTAGGCAGATCTCTGTGAGTTTGAAGCCAACCTAGTCTACATGGAGGGCTCTGTTCTACAACTCCTAACATGCTCAATTTCCATGAAAAAAAAATTAAAAATACTGCATTCAAACATATTTAATTTTTTAAAATTTCCTTTGGTGATGCTGGAGACTGGACCCAGGATCCGGGACCTTGTGAATGGTAGGTAAGTGCTCTCTCATGACAAAATGCCCCTACTCTTCAACCATACATTTCAATGACAGTACAATTTATTTACAGAATGTAATTCTGAGTCACTGACATTGAGCTACATGTGAAGACTGTACTCCTGAAACGCACAAAAGACCATAGGAGATGGAGGGATGGGTGCAGTGAGGATGCCAACTGCTGTAAAGCAATGGATGGAAGGGGCCCCTATGTGACTCTGCTTGTTCACAGTTTGAAGTTCTGTCAACTCTGATCATCTCCCTGGTAGTTAATATGCAACAGATGCTATGGGAAATAATGAAGTGGCCTTTACCGCTCTGCCTTAATAAATTTGGATAGAGCTAGGCCACATTTCCTCTTCATGATACTTGATTCCTTAATTGATTTGTCTCTACTTAAATTGACCTCTTTCTATTACAATTTTCTTCCTTACAAGACTCTGTTTTACATGCATTGCATACATCACACAAACTCAATAACAGTTTTGTTTTGTTTTGTTTTGTTTTGTTTTGTTTTGTTTTGTTTTAAATGAAACTGAGACCAACTCATCCAGATTCCCAACCTGTGGTATCAAAGGTGCTGCCAGTCAGTTACAATAACACCTCAGAAAGCTCTGGGGGGTTCTGAAAGAGCCTGCAGCTTTGCTTCCTTTGAGGACACTGTGGGGAAAGACTGCACAGCTGACAGAACCTGAAATGGGAATAAGCAGCCTGGCAGTATCTGGAATGATACCACACCCAAGGACACCACCCGGAGTGCCATCAGCATATACACAGCTCTTGGGAGCTAAGGAGTGTTTAATAGCATGAAGGTATCTGCTCTAGAAAGCATAGGCTGGGCTCCTTCGGTGAAGAGATTCCTCCCTAGGTAAAGCAGAAGACAGTGTTACACAGTGGGAGGATGTGCAGGTGGGTGGGTGGGTGGATGATAAGTGGATCATGATGGATGATAGATAAGTGGGTAAATAGATGGATGCATGGGCAGATGAATGCATGGATGGATGGGTAACTGGCTAACCATGGCTAGTTGGGTAGGTGGGTGCGTGGATGGATGGATGGATGGATGGATGGATGGATGGATGGATGGCCAGATGCATGGACGGATAGGTGAATGGATGGGTGGATAGATGGATGGATGGATGGATGGATGGATGGATGGATGGATGGATGGATAGATGGGTGGGTGGGTAGGTGGGAGGATGGGTAGACAGAGGGTGGGTGAGTGGGTGGACAAATGGACAGATAGGCAGATAGACAGGTAGATGAATGGATGAATGGATGGATGAACTGATGAACAAGTGAATGGATGGGTAGATGGATGGGTTGATGGGTTGATGAATGGACGTACGGATGGGTGGACAGACGGATGGATGGTTGGATGGATGGAAAGATGAATCAATGGATGGATGGATTGGTACATGGATGCATGGATGAATGGATGGACTGATAAGTGGGTAAGGACCGATGGACAAACAGATGACAGGTAAGGAATGGGTAGACAGTTGGGCTCATGAAAGGATGAGCAGATGGATGGATGGCAGTCAAGTTAAAATGAACTTAGTATAATATAAAAACCCAGACAGCCAGGCTGGGTGGCGTACTTCTGTAATCCCAGCACTCAAGAAGGCACAGGCAGATGGATCTCTGTGAGTTCGAGGCCAGCCTGATCTACTAAGCAAGTCCAGTCAGCCTAGGC